TTCTCCTCTATAAAAGCAGCTATATGTCTGACAAAAAGCACAATTTGATATTTCATTCACACTTGGATATTTACAGAAAGTGAAAAATACTGGGTCATGAAATAACTCATTTGTACTGAAAAAAAAATCCTTTTAACTTGAAATTTACATATTATGGAAGGTTCTTGAAATCGATTACTTTGGAGACAATTAAATTACGTGTGAAGTTCTTCGTGTACATAATAAGTATCGTTCAATACACGGACAGGCCAAATATTCTAAAGGAACTGATTACAATGCAAATCGTAAGCTTTGAAAAAGAACGAATTCTCGACAAATCCTTGATGCGTTGGCTGCAAGCACGAAACCCATTCTTTTGCAGTTAGGTCCTTAATATTTCCTTCGAAATGCAAAGGAACGCTTCGTGCAGTGATAAATAAAGCTAAATAAATGGGTAAAACTTACGCAAAAATTAACACGATTCTCGAAATCGTATCAAGTACAGTCTAACTAGGTGAGAGACACTGACAGTCAAGAGAAAACATAAACAGAGTTAAGGAAAACGTCTTCAGTTATCAAAATATAAAGTACCCTGAGTTCTTATTCTTATCAAATGAAATTATGTGCGATCGATGTAAAAGATTTTCCAACCTGTCAAGAATTAGCAGAGGAAAGTGACAATATTTAACTACTTCGGACATAACTAGAATATTACAAAGCTATTTAAAAACATGCGGTCGTCAACACCAAACTGCCGCTCTCAAAAAGGTCGCTTTGAAGACATATGATTGCGGTTGGAACTTTTTGAAGGGCAACGATTCTAGAAAAGGCAATGGAAAAGCGGCAAAAAGTCGGAAAATGATGACATTAAGACCCTAAAGTCAATAACAGGAAGAGCAAACTGGCCTTTTCAAAAACGCCATGTGATTAAACAAGAATACAAGACCGTTTATTGCATGAGCCCAAAGACCTCGGTGGACCAATACGAAAAAATCTTCAAAACACATCATTAAGTATCGCATTATCTTAGCTGCCCAAGATAATAAAATTGCACCCGACATTGTACCAAAAACTTGCTAAATTTTTCTTGATTCATATTCAAATGATTGTTCTTTACTTCCAAGAGAGTTGTTTACCCAATGAGTGTGACTGGGTTTGGAATATACATGTAAGCCTAGAACTTTCAGAGACATAAGAAGAAAATATTCAAGCTAGAAAAACCGAAGACCGATCGCTTTGACTCCCACAAATTACTAACAAAAGAAATCATTATTGTTGTGTAAATCAAGAAGGGCGAAAGGAATTAATAGATTTTCACAATTCAGAACAGTAAATACCGCGAGCCGGAAGTTGGGCCAAAGAATGACACTTACCACAATAACAGTGGCAAACTTCAAAATCGCCTTATTAAAATCCTTCTTTTCATTTCTAAGAGCCTTATTTTAGCAACGGCCTGATGTTGTATTCTGCACGAGTGTAAGAGTATTCCGTTGAATACACCCAAGGAAAGGGCCTACAAATTGGAAAAATCAGAAAGGCTGGGCATAAGTTTATTTTTGTTGTTGCTTTTTTTTGTTCGTTGGCGCATCTCATTAAATGCCTTTTGAAATTTCACCCCGTAATCACCTTTGTAAATTCCATTACACTTAACTCTTGAACTTAAGAACCTTAAGGGACTTAGAGTTTCTTAACACTGCACGATTTTATCGTGCGATATAATCTGATATCAGACCAGTGAGTTATGCGTGATGGATTACAAAACAATCGTTTAACTATATTGGCCCGTTTGACCCAAATATCTAAGTAATGTCAGTTTGTCTTCTTAAAGGACATTGAGTGACAAATGAATTTTTCTATAGCTGAAATGTAGCCTTTAATGCCAACTCAAAAGTCTTCAGCAGAAGATAAATGATAACGCTCCATTTTCATGTAGATAAGTTAGTTCTATAGAAGGTCTCTCTCGGGCAAATTGTGACAGTATTTTAATATTGTACCGGAAGTAACTGGTAGCATTCTGATCGATTAGCAGACACGACGTCGAGATAATTATTGTTCACTTGTCTCGCTGTACAGAAATCATGGATAATCAAAAATGATGGCGAAAACTTCTATTTATAAACCAGTTGCATGGCTAACCAGTTGATAAGGCTGATTGTAGTTGTTTCGTTCAAAAAACCTCAGAAAAAAGGAAAAAATGATTTGGAATACTATTTAGTGAGGAGGAAATGAACGCCTTTATAATTCTTATTATTTTATTGCTATTATTATTTTTTTTCCTTGCTATTTTCAACGAACAACGTGTCATCATCGATCGTTTTCACTTTCGTGTCGAAAATAAACGCCTGGTCACGACACGGAATAATACAAAGTTATGAATTTATTCATTTACAAGTAGACACAAGAATATTAATGCCAGTAAGAGCTTGTGAATTCAAAAAGTACAACAACGGCAGCTAGTCATGCAATAATAATATATAACAAGTGTTTCAAATATAGTTTCCGGCCTCACACGTACATTTTTCATGATGATCGTTCTTTGTTGCCTCTCCAGTATAGTAGACCGAAGGCGAGAAGACGAAGTAAAATAAGACCCGTCTTTCTGGCATCAAAAGTACTAAAGAGGGTTATAAGCAAATGTTTGATAGAATGACGATCCCTAAACGGAAGTTGCAGGAGTGAGCTCACACACGAGTAGCTACAAGTGGTGCACCTGTTCCGC